GAGATCCGAGCCCCGCTTCGCCCTGAAATCGCAGCCCCGCCCGGCAAGCCTCAGGCTGCGCTAAAACCGGCCGGTTTGTCCCCGGGCCTTTCCGCCCATCCCCGGCACAGGCGCTGGGGAAGGTGCCTCTGGCGGGCTCGCGTTCCCACCCCCGCAAGGAACGAAATCGGATTGAGCCGGAGCCGGAGCCAAAGTGTGCACGGCCCCGCTCCGGATCGCACGCGCCCGGCTTCCAGCGTCCCGCGCTGAGCACCCCAGTTAGGTGCAAACCCACCCACCCCAGCCGCCTCTTGCAACGAATTTCCCACCTGTGAGAAAGTGACAAATGCGACCGAGTGTAGAAAAATCAGGGACTGAAATTGGCAATTTCTTTCTTTCTTTCTTTCTTTCTTTCTTTCTTTCTTTCTTTCTTTCTTTCTTCGGCTGTCTTTTGTTTCTGCGAAATAGGCGCTGGGAAATTAAAAAAAACATTTAAAAAATGCCTTCAAAAATATTGGCGAGGGGTCTGGGAAAACGGGCGATTTTCCACGGACTCGTTTTATTTTAAAATGTTTCCCCCGCTCTTAAAAGAAACGAAACAAATTAGCCACCTAATTGGCGAAATAAAGGTTATAAAGGGAGTGGATAAAAAAGAAGTAACGGCTTCGAGCTTTCTCTGGGGCTTTGATTAGTAATTATTATACAAATAATAATTACAGAGCTGGGAATCCCAGATGGGCGCAAATAGCGCTGCGTAATTTATACCCAGGGAAGGGGTGTAAAGCTCCCAGCGACCTCACCCCCCTTCCTGCGATGGTAGAGCTAGGGTCTCTTTCTTAGCTGTGCTCGTTTGGGTTCGGGGCTGTAAAGACAAATCTATAACACACAAATCGAGTGTGTGCGGGTATGTAAAGCATACCGGTATACTCATAAGAGAATAGACTCCACAAATATCTATCTATCGATCTATCTATCCCCACCCCCCCCCCGTATCTATCTATCTATCTATCTATCTATCTGTCAAGATGCAAAAGAGAAATAAAGACGAAAAAAGCAAACACTCCAGCTAAGTACGAGAAGACATTTCGCTCGTTTGAATTTTAAGAAGATTTTTATCAACACTTCCGCTGTGGTACTGAAAACGAATTAATTTGGCGCCGTCTATTCTAGAATTGGGTGTTTCAGAGAGCTAGCTGGATAATAGGGTGCGTGGGGACAGACAGACAGACAATGCGGGTGAGAGGAACATGCCCATATTTTGAAGTCGCTTTAGTCTCTGTCAGGAACTCCTAATTCCGGAGCAGACGGTTCCAAACGAATTCGGTTTCAAGTACCGCAGTTACACCGTCGGTAACAATCTCCGGGTTCAGCGGAGGGAACTGTCCCCTTTGAATTAGCCGGGCGGGGTGTTTGCTTTTTTCGTCTTTATTTCTCTTTTGCATCTTGACAGATAGATAGATAGATAGATAGATAGATAGATAGATAGATAGATAGATAGATAGATAGATAGATGGGGGTGTGGGGATAGATAGATAGATAGATAGATAGATAGATAGATAGATAGATAGATAGATAGAGTGCCGGTACCTGGCGAGGCACAAGCGAGCCCTCGCGGTTTTTTGGACACCGACCGTGTCACTCTTTTAACGCCCCTTGAAAAATGTGGGGGGAGCTTTGAGTGGGGGCATCAATCCAGACTAAGCTAGGAAAGGTTGGTTCTTTGTAAAACGACCTCCCCCTCCCCCACCGCAAGAGGCGTCTCTCCAAAGCGCTTCCCTGCCCCGGAGGCTTCGCCCGCTTTGGGGGTCAAAGGTGTGTTATTTCCCCCGACAGATGCGTGTCGGAAAACTCCCCCAGCGCCCTTGGATCGAGCTCGGGGCCTGACCCGCACACGGGCGCTTTCGAGGGCCAGGGCCATTTCCCACGCGTGGGGGATTTTTCTCCGGCGTGTGAACGCGATCGGGGGGTGCCAGGGAGGCCTCGCCCCGGTGAAACCCGTTTGCTGGGGGATTTCTCTGCCTAGGAGGGACAGCCCCTTCCCCCACGCATTTGGGGGGGGTGGATTCGAGCCACACACCCGGGGAGGCGCTGGGCGTGGCTGGCGGCTCCTCGGAGCCCCGCCGGGGGCTACTTGGCTGCCCCTAGTGCCACCCCGCTGGGTGTCTTCGCTGGCAGGGGGAGCCGGGAGCGGCAAGTCGGTGTGCGAGGGCTGCCAGGGCGTCATCTCGGACCGGTTCCTGCTGCGGCTCAATGACCGCTTGTGGCACGAAGGCTGCGTGCGCTGCGCCGCCTGCGAGGAGCCGCTGGAGACCACCTGCTTCTACCGGGACAAGAAGCTCTACTGCAAGCTCGACTACGAGAAGTAAGTGCAGCCGGGCCGGGCCGGGGGAAGGCGGCGTGGGCCGGGGCGGGGTCGCGCTTCTCGGTGCCCGCCGCTGGAGCGCACGGGGCCAGGGCGCACGGCGCACGGCGCGCAGAGCAGCCGGGCCCGGACTGCAGCGGCCGCCCTGCCCATGCAGAGCCTGGGGCCATCAGGGACCGGTGCCCTCAGGAGCCGGGTTCCTCCAGGCGCGTTTGGAGAGTCCCCAGAGCCCGCGGGCCCTTGCTCCGGATTCGCCCCGGGCCGTGTTGGCGCTCGGCGCCCTGCGCACGCTGGGTCCCCGACCCGCTGGTCCAGGGAGGAAGCGGATTTGACACGCGGGGGCGGAAATGCTCCCTTAGGAACTGCCCAGCACCGCAGGCTCCAGGGTGTCCGTCCATCGCTCCGCTGCAGGGAGGCCCCCAGAGGTGAACGGGGAAAACTCTGGTTTCATTGGAGGGGACTTCGCCAAGCTCCCCTCCCGGGAATGGAACCCGTGTCCGTGCAGGGCTGGAAAAGGGGAGAGGACTCGTACCTTGTACTGGGCCTTGCGCTAAAAATCTTCACTGCAGCAGGTGGCTTGGGGGATACCGCAGGCTGTGCCCTGTAGTGTGCATGGCGTGGGGAGGGGCTGCAAGAGGTGCCTCTATTTCCCATTCCAACCCTCGGGTCATGCCCCAGGCAGGGCAGGAGGTCTGGTGTGCGAGGAGCACGAGTGACAGACGCAGGAGTGGCCCAGGGGCTGCTACTTTCCCATAGGCTCTGCCCCCCAGGGGTTCACCCTCCCCTCCACGTTGCATCGCCCTAGGGCCCTCTCCATGCCAATGGGCAGGCTGCCGTGGGAATGAATGGGGGGCTTACAGGGAGGCCCCTGATTCACCAAAAGGGTAGCCCGTCAGGACTGTGCCAGCCAGCAACTTACCGGTGCCATGAGCCGCGTGTGATGTGTCTGCAGATCAGGTGTGAGACCTTTTGTAGCCCCGCTGGAAATTAGGCTCTTAAAATCCCTGCCGGGAAAGGCAGGTCATCAGAGACGACCTTCCCCCCTCTCACTCCTTCCCTGTGGGGGCTAGGCAGACCTCTTACAGGGGCGCTCCCGACATGGCCCCACCAGCCCCCCACAACTGCCTGCCTCAAAGCCCATGGAAAGAGCCCT